CCATCGCTATGTTTAGATGTTTATAATGGTTGATCTAGATTCTAGATCATTCGTCTAAAATAAAAAATTCTCAGACACTGTTTTAGAGGTTTTAGTGGTCGAGTTCCAGATATATTTTGACGAATTTTTTTTATGGAATAAGGTTAACGACATTTTCAGCGATTTCAAAGGGAGGCTGCATAGATATGACGAAGCCGATTTCAACATGATAAAATGACAGACTACAAAATACAACTGTCCTTGATACTCACTCGTTACGTACCGAGCATGCTATAAATGCTACAGTCCAATTGTTGTCTAGCGTTTCCTTAATGTGCCGTAATTCACGTGTTTTTGACCCAAAAACTCGCATTTTTGGATCCCAAACTTAGGCAATAAAATCATAAAACTCTTGCATTACTAAATGCAAAAAACATGTTAGGGTGGCCGCAGAAATAGACTCTTCGGTCTCTTGATCAGTCGCCGTGCACTGCGCGGGTCCGAATCCCGTCCCAAGAGAAATTGTTCTCTTGGCTATGCATGTTGTGATTGTCCGTAGGTGGGAGACGGTCTCTCACTGTCGAACGCGGAGGTACCACCCGGCGGTTTTCGTAGGCGGAGCTAGAATGTGTGCATGTTGCATGCACACGTGTTCCCTCGCCAGAGTCCGTGTGGCGTTCCCCCATTCCCATGTATCCCTCTATAGCCCCACGGTACCCAATGGGTGCTTAGGCCTTAGGCCTTCGTGGTAGTTGGAGTTTAAAAAAAATTGAGTGTCTCATAGTAGAAAAGACATAATTCATCCGACTGAACGCTGGACAGAGGAGTAGATTTTCACAATAACAATTTGCCCGGTAGGGTTGAATGTGTGTGGCGGTGGATCCAAAATATACCTACTACCTACTGCGCATGCCAGGTAAAGAACGTCCATTTTCCTGACATGGGTAAAAAGTTGCATTAACGGCGATTTCTGGTAAGAAATGTTTGGTAATGCATTACGTGGTTAATTTTCACCCAGTGACAATCCGAACAATGTAAAATTGTCAAACCAATGATGCCAGAGCAGGGAGCATGAATAAAATAAACTGGAACATGGACCGCTGCGTAATGCGTATGTGCGATTGGAACCAGAACATGTTCCCTGTCCGTGCTGGAACAAACCTTATAATGTACTTGCCATTCTATAATGCAGTGAAATTAGTATTTATTTGGGATGTGCATAAGCAAGGCGAAAATTCATATACTTTGAATGACTTTGAAGTTGAGTCATTAATTTTCAGATAATGATTGCAGAGGGAAGATAAACCAAAATATGTGTGTAAAAATAAAAAAAAATGTTACCTTGTTTTATAAAGTATCCTCTCGACAAGTATTTCAGTGCGGACCTGTATTTGATCGTGCGGTCTTGGAGCACTGGCATGCCCTCCCTTGTGAGGTCTTAAGTCACCTGATTCACGAGCCCTTTGTACTACATTAACAAAGGCACGAGGACGTTGGTTGCACTCGATTGGGAAACCGATTCGCATAAATCCGTAAATAAGAATCATGTCCACAAGTTCAGCATTTTCGTAAACATGTGCCATTTCGTTTGAGCCACGCAACAAACACCACTATTCACTCACGCGTTACCGACTGACATATTGACTGACATCGTGATAAACGTTTCAAATTCTTTCGCTTTTTGTTTCCGATACGATGAACCGATAAGGCGGATTATATTCGTTGTTGCCAAACACGAGCACATAATATTATTATTGAGACAGGGCGGTACTCAAACCTCTAAAGGGCTATAACTTTGTTAATTTAATTTTACCAGAAAAATGTTAAAGGAAAAACATTTCTTTTGATCAGATCTACTCACTGTTCAAATAAATGACTCAACTTCGAAGTCACCCTGTATGTAAAAAAGGTATCGATCTTCTTGATGAAACCCCTCTTCGTAGCTAAAGCGAGTAAGTAAATTCCGAAGCTGTAGTCATTTTGGCGCTAGGATCCACGAGGAAGATAGAGATTGGCACATATTTTTTTACGAGTTCATCCTTATAGATTAACTGTGTAAGAAGTTTCACTTCCTTGTAATTACAGGAGATGGACGTAGTACTACGAGATAATTTTCCAAAAGCTCTACGTGTCTATTTTTAGAACGAAACCTCATGTCCTGGGCAAATCTTTGACGTAAGGACCCAGGTTTACTTGTAGCCAAAGGGAACGAAATATTACTTTTGTGAGATGCTAGATTTTAAGGCATCCCAAAACATATACAGGGTGTTCCTTAATGATACGAGAATATTTAAGGGTGTGAATCTACATGAAAAATTAATGTTAGTTTGCTTTATAAACTATGGTCCAAAAATGTTTCCTTACAAAAACTCGGGGAGTTTCTACATCAGCATTTTCTACATAGCTGCAGCCAGTATTCGTGCTTAGATGGCCGGAGTACGTGGATCTATAATTATTTCAGTTTCAAAGGCAAATCGAGAAAATCTATGACGTGTGAAATCTGGCTAGACTGCATAGACTTACCAGGGTTGATGCATATAAATATACTAAGATAAAAAAAATTCAACTCCTACAAAAACGTTCCTAAAACGTCAAAAAACGAAGTTTGAGCGATACGTCCTTGGCATTCTGTGAAAATTTCATCAAACTCTGATCGGTCGTTTCCAAGTTATAAAGGGTGTTCCTTAATGATATGCGAATATTTAAGGGTGTGAATCTGCATGGAAAATTAATGTTAGTTTGCTTTATAAACTATGGTCCAAAAATGTTTCCTTACAAAACTCAGGGTGTTGAAGTTTTAGGAAAAAAATGTAAATTAATTGATATTGTCAGAACCGCGTCAGATATTTCACTGATATTTAGTACGTAGTGAAAGTTAATAAAGTTGCATATTTTTCAATGCAAAAATAATTTTTAGCTTCAACAGTGGCGTGCGTACGGGTATTGACTTCGATATTTTTTAAGAAAAAAATGGTACGCCAATGGTTTTTTGCCAAATAAAAATGATTTTTAAATTCATCGTTCAATTTGAAATAAATGATCTCTCTTGAGTTGCTTTCCTTCGATGCGCCATTTTTGAGTAAAAAAATAAAAACCGTTCTGTTGTCCAAGTTGCAAAAATATTATTAATTTAATTGGAAAAATTAAACACATTATCGGTAATGAACAACAACAACTGACAACGATTTGGATAAACAGTCTGTCCGTCAAGTCGTCCCAGCAAGAAGAATGGGCCAATAAAGTGGTTGCCAAGAATTCCTGCCAAGAATTCCTGCCCATACGTTAAGCGAAAATTGGTGTTGGAAATGGGTCTCGGTTACGGCATTGGTATTTTCTTCTGGCCACAAATGATTATTGTGGAAATTCCGAATGGCATTTCCAAAAAATTAGCTTCGTCCGTGAACAGAATCATTGATTCAAATTGCGGATTTTGTGTAATTTTTTAAGATACCACTGACAAAAGGTCACACGCCTTAGAAAATCAATGGGAAGTAGTGCCTGTACTCTTAACATATGGTGAGGATATAACAAAAAATCCTCTAAAATTGTCCAAACAATTTGATGGCAAATATTTAAGTTGTGAATTAAATTCCTACGAACAAGCTTTTGCATAAGATGAACCGGAACAGAAGTTTTTAATATTTTTACGACAAATCTAATAAAGTTGTATTTGAAAAGATCAGAAATTTTCAACCAATTCATTGAAGATATTGGGTGAGAAACATGATCGTACCTTCTTAAATTGTTTATGTAACGACTACATGAGTTTTAAATTTTTTGCAGTCTGTATTTTGTGATTTCATCGAGACAGGGATAATAAACTATGTTGCAGTAAGAGATTTTACCGAGTATGAGTGACTCGCATAACATTTTCTTAATTTTTCTATTTAAAACAGTTTTACTTGCATATAGAAGCCTGAGTCTAAAATAACTAGACTTACACACATAGCCAACATGCTCCTGAAATCTGAAATCTTGATCGAAGTACAAACCTATTTTTTTTGCAGAATTGGAAAATATTAGGATACTATTATTTAGTGATAAATTTAACTTTGGTTTGAGGAAAGTACGTTTTTTCTTGGAGCAAAAAAGTATAGCTGTCGATTTCGATGCGTTTAGACGTAAATTATGTTTTGCAGCATATGTGCATAAGTATTGCAGATCTTGATTGATAAGGTTGTTAGCTAAATGGTAGTTGTTCGGACAGAAATTATGAAAAACCTGCATATCATCAGCATATGATTGACTAGAACAATGTTGAAGGGTATTAGAAATGTCAAAGGTGTATATAAGGAATAAAAGTGGACCTAATATGGATCCCTGAGGCACGCCGGAACAAATCGGCCTTTTGTCTGAAAGTTTATTTTGTATGACGACATATTGATGTCGTTCATTTAAATAGCAATCTATCCATTCCAGAACCAAATCGTCACACCCAATGTATTTACATTTAGAAACTAACAGCTTATGATTCAGGGTGTCAAAAGCCTTGCTGTAATCCAATAAGACTAATGCAGTTGCTTCTTGCCTATCCGCCGCGGTTAGTACATCGTTACAAACCCGTGCCAAAGCAGTAGTGGTACTGTGACCCTTTCTAAAGCCTGATTGATTTAATGGCAAAATGCTGCGTTCGAGTAAATACTCATTCAACTGCATATAAACGATTTTTTCTAGAATTTTTGATAGAGCTGACAGCAAGCTAATAGGTCGGAGATCACCAGGAACCTGGGGATTGGGAATCTTTGGAAGAGGTTGCACTAATGCTTCCTTCCAAGCACTTGGAAAAACACCGCGCTCTAAACAACAATTTATTAAGTGCAAAATGTATATTCCTACAGCAGGTAGACACAATTCAATCATCTCAATGGTAATGCCATCAATATCACTAGAATTGGACTTGATACTGCGAATAGCAGAGCAGGATCCGACGGCATTTTTATCCTGTGATCGATGGAAGGCCCCCCGACGACACATTTTCATTGTAAATAGGGCCCTAAAATATCCCACAATAAAATACATGCTTCAATGAATTCAAACTTCAGTTTATTTGTTAATACTATCATATAATACATACTACAGAGTATAAATGATACATGATAAAGTTAAAAAAGTCTACAAACTACTTGCAATATTAATTAATACTATTTTGAAGAAGATACATTTTATAACAAACTTGCTATGGTACATTTCTATATTTGCGGATCTTATTGTTTTAAATGGAATTTGAACAAATTGTTTAATTTAATCTGATATTAGTCCTGTTCTTGGTGATAGGAGTAAGTGCTCATGATAATGTATAATGTTATTCAAACACTGATAAAATGTTGAATGGGATATTTACAGGAAAATTAGTTGTATTCATTGATACAAGCTTTAAGTATGTCTTGAGCAATAAACTGTTTAATGATCGAGAAGTTCACGTATACCGGGTCCGTCAGAAAGAACGCATGTTTTTTAAATGAGTAGTACAGTCAAAATAAGTAAGGGACAAATATTTTATTATATCAAAATACTCAGAAATAGATGCCATTTTTTGGAGTAAAACAATATTTACGTTCTAAAAACTATGTCAGCCATATGGCGCCCTTGAGCCGAAATGCAGGAATCAAGCCTCTCCGGCGATATTCCATGGCCCTCTCGCTCCCCGGACCTGTCAACGTGTGATTTTTTTAAGGGTCTACCTGAAATCAAAAGTTCACCAAAGCAAGCCTCGGAGCCTCGTCGATTTGAAGGAGGAAATAAGAAGAGAAGTGACCCAAATTCCTGCACGGATGCTGACCGACGCAATGGGCTCATTTCGGCTCAAGGGCCCCATATAACCGACATAGTTTTTAGAACGTAACTCATGTTCTAGTAAAAAAAATGGCACGTATTTCTGAGTATTTTGATATAATAAAATATTTTTTCCCATACTTATTTTGACTGTATTACTCATTTAAAAAACATGTGCGTTCTTTCCGACGGAGCCTGTAGTACCGAGTGTATAATATGTATATAAATAACAATCGTACAGTTTGGCGCAATGTGTTAAAAAATTGACTTTTTATGAGTATGAGCTGATTCAGTTATTTTCATAGTTCTAAATGTTTTATGAATATCGAAATGGCACTTGAGAATTAGACATTTGACAACACACTTAAGACATGCTTGAAGTTACGTTGCTTAAAATATTAGGTGTACCTATATAATAAAGATATATACTTAAAAATGACGATGTTGTTTGAAATGTGTGAGGAGCCTAATGAACTTTAGTATTGTCCATTTAAGAAAATGATTATTAGTACCCATCAGTACTGCTGTAATGCTGAAAGTTACTACAACATACTTTTTCCCCCTGAATTCGATCTATATTTTGATATAAACAGTAAACTAACTTTGATCATGATTTGTATTCATCATGTTACTTGCAACGACGTCACCAAATATGTGACTTCTCCGTCATTTTCTTATAATGAACAACAAAAATATTTTACGGCACATTTCTCAATGATTTTCAATGATTTGATACATTATAAATGAATAATTTTTGGCAAACTTAAGATAAAGGTTCACGAGTGGTATTCGGTAGAGATAGACACAGCAGTCCTCCTCCTATTAGCAGACCAGCTACAATAAAGGTCGGAGCTGGGCAGTACATATCTAGGAGAGTAGCTATAACTATGTTACCGATGATACCTCCCAAACGAGCTGCTACCATGGACACGGCTATACCTGTGGCCCTGAAAATAGAATTACCTTTTTGAGCATAAACAGATTCTATTTAGCAATGCCGCTCATGTTCGGTGTTCCGTTTCCATTCTGGTGATCGTTTTTTGAATTACGCTCGCGACATTTCCCATGCATTTGGCGTGTGAAGCCCAAGGAGTATAGTGGATAAAAATGGGGTGGCTTATGAGAGTTTAGTGGAGATTTTCAAAGAAAGTGATGCAACTGCAAACACGCGACCACTTTGAACGCCGGGTACTTCTGAGACGTTCCAATCTTTTTTTTTTAACAAAACACCGTGCCCAAATTGACCAGAGTACCGCTTCCATGACGATAAGACACGCAACTGAGCGAAACATACAGATATCTCTGCACCACGTAGACGCTCTAAAAGTTGCAACGCTTTCATTCCGTCCTAGGGTTGCGCAGACAAAAGGGTATGCAAAACGTAGCGTCTGGACTGGCCTTTGGAGGCAGCAAATCATTTCGCAAATATACAGTCCACTCATGCATACAACCGGAATCAGCGAAACTCAATTTGGTGACATAGAGCCAATAGAGACAGTGACAATCCATCACTTGGGATCACAAATTCCGTATTTCTATTCGGAATAGTCTAGGAATATTAGACATTTTCGGCTAAGAAAGTCGCAACTAGCATTCATAGTAGAACATGTTTTGTATGCCTGGACTTCTTCGAATTGCAATTTCGTCCGTGTTCGATCGCGTTTTAATATTAGGTACGCTCGCGACATTTCATCTCAGCCGTCGCCGTTTTCCATGTATTAGGCGTGTCAAATCCAAGGAGTATGGTGGCAGGCTTAAAAAGGGGGAGGTGTATTAGGGTGTAGTGGAAAAATTCAAAGAAGTTGATGCAACTGCAAACACGGGACCACTTTGAACGGGTACTTCTGAGACGTTCCAATCTTTTTTTAACGAAACACCGTGTCAAATTGAGCAGAGTATCGTTTCCATGATGATAACACACAAAACTGAGCGAAATATACAGATATATCTGCACCACGTAGACGCTCTAAAAATTTCAACGTCTTCATTCCATTTTAGTCGAATTGCAAAGGGACGACCCCGTCCTTCTAAGCAGGGGTGATCGTATTACCCCTATATATCGCTTCAACCGCAAATTTAATGTGGAGTATCCAACGAGGGAGGAGTGGGACGCCGGTAGCCCGAGACTCTCCGGAGTGAGCGGGCAGGTCTGGTACACGGACGTCTCGGTCACCGAAGAGGGCTCAGGTGCTGGGGTCTCTGGGCCTAGAACTAGGCTATCTCTGCCTCTCGGTGGATACACCACTATTTTCCGGGCGGAAATCTTTGCGATTCTGGCTTGTGTGTCTCGTATTCTGTAGGAGGGTGGGCCTAGGAGAAGAATAACAATTTTATCCAACAGCCAGGCTGCAATGAAAGCACTAAGTGCCTGTAAGATTACTTCGAGTCTTGTATTGCAATGCAGGGAGGCTCTGGATTGCCTCGCAGCGAGGAATCCGGTATCGTTAATGTGGGTACCGGGGCACGCTGGGATAAGGGGCAATGAGACGGCGGACACTCTGGCGAAGACAGGATCAGTCAGCAAGCTCGTTGGTCCTGAGCCAGCTCTAGGAGTGACCGCGCATAGAGCTAGGAGGAAAATGGCGACGTGGGCTGCAAGACAACACTCTCAGAAATGGAGAAGTATCTCCAGACATCTCCGCCAGGCACGGGAACTCATTGAAGAGCCCAGTGCTAAGGATGGACGTTTCTGCTTATTTTTGGATAGAGCCAACCTAAGGTTGCTGGTGGGACTGTCTAGCCATAACACGTTAAGGCGCCACCTGCACGTGATGGGGGGGGGGGGGGCTGAGGATCCCTTGTGTGAACGCTACGGGGTAGAGGAAGAGACCTCGGCGCACGTTCTGTGTCGCTGTGAAGGTCTGAGCTACTATAGGCAGACTATACTGGGGTCCATTACTTTGGACCCTCAGGACGTCAAGGAGCTTGGACTCAAGGCGATTCTCAACTTCGCTAAAAGGGTGAGGCTTGTGATCTAAGGAATGTTGAGGTGCATAAGGGCCTGCTCAAGCGGCCTATGCACTGGCAAGCTGTGCAAGTCAAAATATTGAATTTGGCCAGCTCATCAAAATCATAAAAATAAAATTTGCGCCGAATCGTATTTTTCTTTAAAACCGTTTTGCTCGAATCCTGCATGAATGGCCCTGGAAAAAATAATGTATCAATACATCTTTTTATTAACTAACTGTCTCAAACAAAATAATTTTCTCGCTTATTAAATACAATTTTCCGAAGAAAAACAGACAAACAAAATCCCTCACACAACTGGCAACGTCGTACTCCGCCTGCATTGCATGTATCATCGCATATTGCCCACGATCGACATCGTGTCGGTAGGCAAAAGAATAAATACCTACAATGGGAAAAATTTATTTGATAGTTTCTCTCACATTTTATTATTCAGTATGTATTACTGTATCAGTGCTTGTATTTTGATACGAAAGAGATGTTTTCGGTTGCATTGCAGCGTTGCCAAATGTTTGAGAAAATTCAATTATTTACGACTCACTTTCCTCGAAAACTATCGATTTTCGGACATAAGTTATAATGAACTTTTTTGCTTAGAATAATGCAAGGAATCACCTCTTAAAGTTACGAATAATATTTCCCTAACACGCTGTATTTTGGAAAATTTACCACTTGGTATCTCAATATTTAAGACACATATGACACATGTTCGACGTTTTTTCTTATATGGATCAAAAAATCCTCTTAAATGTCTTATCTTACTATGGAAACACCATGTTTGAAAATTCTTGAAATATATATGTCGCAAAAATGAAATATTTACCTTAGATTTGTGGGAAAGATTTCTGTAATAAGGCAGTCAAGCGCTGCATTACCACACGATATCACACTGCTGAATACTGCAGAAACAATCAGATTGTGAGTTTTGTTCTGGACAAAATACATACAAGCTGAACATAGTCCTGAGGAAAGTGTACTGAAAACTAAAAGAAAAAAAATAATATAAATATAGGGTGGGTTTTTAGTCAAGTTCATAAAAGATTAAATTCAGCGCAATTTAAATCCTCTAATGAGAAAGTCAGTTACGAACATGTACAACAGATATATTAAACGGATTAAATCAGTCAAACATGTCCATACAATTATTCCATGGACATTATTTTCCTGTCCTACAGGTAGTTACTGTCCATCTGGCAACATTGTCTTTTTCTACATCAGCATTTTCTACATAGCTGCAGCCAGTATTCGTGCTTAGATGGCTGGAGTACGTGGATCTATAATTATTTCAGTTTCAAAGGCAAATCGAGGAAATCTATGACGTGTGAAATCTGGCTAGACTGCATAGACTTACCAGGGTTGATGCATATAAATATACTAAGATAAAAAAAATTCAACTCCTACATAAAGGTTCCTAAAACGTCAAAAAACGGAGTTTGAGCGATACGTCCTTGGCATTCTGTGAAAATTTCATCAAACTCTGATCGGTAGTTTCCAAGTTTCCCTTAATGATATGCGAATATTTAAGGGTGTGAATCTGCATGAAAAATTAATGTTAGTTTGCTTTATAAACTATGGTCCAAAAATGTTTCCTTACAAAACTCAGGGTGTTGAAGTTTTAGGAAAAAAATGTAAATTAATTGATATTGTCAGAACCGCGTCAGATATTTCACTGATATTTAGTACGTAGTGAAAGTTAATAAAGTTACATATTTTTCAATGCAAAAATAATTTTTAGCTTCAACAGTGGCGTGCGTAGGGGTATTGACTTTGATATCTTTTGAGGAAAACATGGTACGTCAATGGTTTTTTGCCAAATAAAAATTATTTTTGTATTCCCCGTTCAATTTAAAACAAATTATTTTTCTTGAATTGTTTTCCTTCGATGCGCCATTTTTGAGTAAAAAAATAAAAACCGTTCTATTGTCTAACTTGCAAAATTATTATTAATTTAATTGGAAAAATTAAACACGTTAGGGGTAGTGAACACCAACAACTGACAACATAAACATAACATTAAAACCAACGAAATGATTACAAAATGGCCCCCTTCATTTAGTATGCATGCTTCCGCCCTCCTTCTCATGAAATTGCGCACTCGTTGAAATATACCTGGAGTGTTTGTTATTCTATCACAAGCTGCATCTATTATTTCTCTTAATTCCTCTACAGTGTTAATGGGACTTGTGTACACTAGTGTCTTAAGTTAGCCCCACAAAAAGAAATCTAAACTGTTGAGCTCTCGGTACCTTGGTGGCCATTCTTGGGGCCCACCGCGGCCAATCCAACGATTTGGATAAACAGTTCGTAAATAATTACGAATCGCTACACTGAAATGCCCTGGTGCACCATCATGCATGTACTACATATTGTTTCTTATTACTAACAGAACATCATCAAGCAGCAAAGGCAAGTTGTTGAAGAAAATTGAGGTAACTCTGTCCGTCAAGTCGTCCCGACAAGAAAAATGGGCCAATAAAGTGGTTGCCAATAATTCCTGCCCATACGTTAACCGAAAATTGGTGTTGGAAATGGGTTTCGGTTACGGCATAGGGATTTTCTTCTGCCCACAAATGATTATTGTGGAAATCCTGAATGGCATTTCGAGAAAAATTAGCTTCATCCGTGAACAGAATCATTGGGAAGTAATGCCTGTACTCTTAATGGTAATGAAATAACAAAAAATCCACTAAAATTCTCCAAACAATTTGATGGCAAATATTTAAGTGTCTAGCGATCTTCCTCGTACTCGTTTCAGGATGTTCTTCGACTTCGTGCAGCACTGCTTCCTCAATTTCAGGTGTTCTCACACTCACAGGTCTACCTTCAGATGTTCTTTTTCGGACAGAACCAGTTTCAATAACACGACGATGAATATTAGAAAAGGTTCGACTATCTGGCAAAGCACGATCGGGGTATCTGTGTTGACAAATCCGTCTGGCTTGCTCACCATTACCGTCGGCAAAGCCATATACGTGATGCATTTCTGCCGTTTCTGCATTTGAATAAAGATTGTAAAAACTAAATAATGATAAATATGTCATAGTGAACAGATTTGAATAACAGAGACCTGTCAGATGTCAAAAGCCAGTGACACATTCCAGAGCAACTAGATATTTATTGTTAAATTGCATTCTTCAATTATAACATTAATTTTCTCGGACAATAGAACAGTGTTTATTTTTTTACTCAAAAATGGCGCATCGAAGGAAAACATTTCAAGAGAGATCATTTGTTGTAAATTGAACGGGGACTTCAAAAACAATTTTTATGTGGCAAAAAACTGTTGGCATACTATTTTTTTCATGAAAAATATCGAAGTCAATATCCGTACGCACGCCACTGTTAAAGCTAAAAATTATTTTTGCGTTGGAAAATATGCAACTTTATTAACTTTCACTACGAATATCAGTAAAATATCTGAAGCGGTTCTGAAAATATTAATTAATTTCCATTTTTTTCCTAAAAATTCAACATCCCGAGCTTTTGTAAGGAAACATTTTTGGACCACAGTTTATTGAGCAAACTAACATTACTTCTTCATGTAGACTCACACCCTTAAATATTCGCATAGTATTAAGGAACACCGTGTATAGGATAGCCCAAAAGTGAAAGCAGATCAAACATGTTTTAATGGAAAATCATTTTTATTGTTGTATTTTGATCATTTTTTATGTGTTAGCCTCCAAGCCTGAATTCAACTTTTTTGAGATATTGAGGTTTACATTTTCTGTCACGTTAATGTATGTATACAGCCAATATTGCTTCTGTGTATTTTCAAATCGTCAAGCAAACGCGCGTCGTCTGAATCTAGTTAGTCTAACTCACCCAAGAAGAATTTTCTGCCCAATCTATCCATTCCTAGTACAGCTAAGATATTGCTGGGAAGCGCTGCAGCGACGGTGATCAAAGAGTCAATAAAAACTTCTCCAGGTATTTTTTCAATGCATTCTCCAGTTTTCGATTGACTTCCCATGTTAACCACATAGTCAGTTACCTGACAGACTGAGGCATCTGCCCCATTGTGATCCCGTGCGTATTCACCAAATCTGTTGAACAACTCGGGAAACCACATCATAAGACCGTAGTAACTGAAATAAAAGACATTATATTCCTCAATACTGTATGAGCAAATCCTAAAAATCCTCAGAATGGTAGGCAAAACCATGCTAAATATGCAAATCTTAAAGTAACACTTACCCAATGTGGAAAGTGAAGTTGATTGTGATGGATATGAGAGTGTATCTTAAAATAGGTGAGACGAAAAGTTGCTTGCTATTATCTAGGATGTTCACAATCATGTTAGCATATTTCCCTCTTTTCGCAATCTTTGCCTTTGCTTCCACTGTCAGGATCTCTTCTTCATATATAAGATGTTTCACAGGATAGTCTTCGGCGTCATTGCCAGTGTTGATTTGGTAGATATGCCTGAAGATGGCAATAGCCTCTTCACTTCTTCCTTGCGAAAGTAGGAACTTGGGACTTTCTGGTAGAAAGCAAAGTAATGCTGTCACAATAAAGGATGGTAGAGCACAAATCAAGAGAAATATTCTCCATGAGTTGTAGACGAAATATTGGCTTCTGAAGCCTATATCGTGCGGGATTATTAATCCCGCCAGACCTGCTACGAACAGGTTTCCTAAGGTCCAGAAGGCTGCCATGAATGATAGCATTGAACCTCTCTTGGACTTAGGTTGGAATTCTGCGAAGTATGACCATATTACTGGCCCGCTGCCCCCTAATCTAAAAAACAAAAAATGATCAGAACAGGAATTTTTCTTCAACTAACAATTGAAGGGCACAGGGAAAAAATATGAATGTCACAAATTTGGTGTTTTGTTAGAACCGGTAACATGTAGCCTTGACGCAGTAAAATCCCATGAGGGATCGGAAACACGCAAAAACAATGACAGTTCGCAGTTATACCCAATTGAAGACTTGCCTTGAAGGGAAAAAAGATACATGTCACAGCCGTTGTGTGAAAAAATATGAACGTCCACTGATCGTCACCGAAACAACTTACCATACAACAATCTGCGAGGAAAAAAAATAAACGTTGAGTAATCATTTTTAAGTAGTTACCATTATTTTTTTTGTTCTATTTCCATCTGAATAAGATTTTTTAGGTTCATTTCTTCCTGTCTCAATTAAAAAAATACTTAGAAATAATTCTGTGTTTGAGCTATTGAGGTTAGAAAATTTCTTAGGTTCTTGGCCTTGTGTAATAAATTTCCTGTCAAGGTTCATATTGAAATAGATCGTAAAACCTAAGATAGGCATTTTGCTAGTTAACCGACCCTTAGATTTTACAGGGTGTCGCATATGACGAAAGGCTCATTTCTAGCCTCAATTCGCAAAAAAGTTGAATTCAGGAATGGATGATAACACATAAATGTTTAAAATCATAGGGAGAATCTCAAAATACAAAAATAAAAAGGATTTTCCATTAAAAAATTTTTGGTTTGGTTTCACTTTGGTCTCAGTTTATACCAGAAAATATATATTTTTTTATTTATAATTTAACTTTTTCCATTTCTTGTACTCCGTCAGATCTTTGACCCACCCTGTACAACGAGACGAGGAGTCTTCAAACTTTCAAATTCACTTTTCTCAAAACTTACTTTTTGTGACATTCATCTTTTTCCCCTGTATCCTTCAATTAGTGGAGTATCGTTAAACTTAAGAACTTACTAAAACCTCGGAACCTAGACTCACTGAATTTTTGAGACTTTTTGTGAGATGTATAATGGAAAGCTTGCTTATTAATTTTGTGTGCATTTTTATTGTCAATTGCTTTTAATTCTTTTAACATTTTATTTTCAATGTATACGATTATTCAGGTTCATGAAACGCCAGTTTGTAGAACTGAACAAAAAAAGTTCGTGTAAATCTATGTATTTTACGGCGTCGTTACTGAGATACAGCGTGCTAAGTTCATTTGTTCTAATTCATATATTTTTAATTTTTCGTAATTATATTTGAATAACTTAGATGAGACTGTGTGAATCGACGGTAGAGATTAAGGAATATTTTCTCTTGCTACTAAAATGCCCAAAATTAAACAAAATTGTGAAAATACCCCTGGATCACCCTAAATGTATTCATCCAAATTCCACAATTAAAAATACCCGGTTTAAATTTGATAGCGTCGGTCACAGGGTAGTTCCGCTGTATACAGAGTGTTCCTTAATGATATGCGAATATTTAAGGGTGTGAATCTACATGAAAAATTAATGTTAGTTTGCTTTATAAACTATGGTCCAAAAATCTTTCCTTAAAAAACTCGGGGTGTTGAAGTTTCAGGAAAAAATAGAAATTAATTAATATTTTCAGAACCGCTTCAGATATTTCATTGATATTTAGTACGTAGTGAAAGTTAATTAAGTTGCTTATTTTCAATCCAAAAATAATTTTTAGCTTTAACAGTGGCGTGCGTACGGGTATTGACTTGGGATTTTTTTTATACAGGATGTTCTTCGACTTACGTAACGCATTTCCGCCATTTCTGCATTTGAATAATTCACCATTATTAACAAGATTGTAAAAACTAAATAAAGAAAAAGATGTCACAGCGAACAGATTTGAATAACAGAGACTTGTCAGATGTCAAAAGCCAGTGACATATTCCAGAGCAACTAGATATTTATTGCTAAATTGCATTCTTCAATTATTACATTAATTTTCTCGGATTCCGAGGCTTAAGCCTAAAAGCCTCTTCACACTCACGCGAGAAGAAAATGAGAAATGTGAATGTGGAACCAATTTTCATAATCTTTGCAGGTTCTTGGCGTGTTCTCCGATTTTTGTCGGTTTTTTGGCGCGAGACAAAAGAGCTGAGAACGCGAGAACAGTCGAGAACTTGTATTGACTGCACACTCGCATGTTTCTCAGTGGCAGGTGACTCGCCGATTAGAACAGTTGTGCATGGTATTTACTACTGAGCATCAGAAGGTATCAGTTTTAACAGACACTGTATTGAATATTTTCGATTCCCATGCACCCCTAAAAGACTGCAATGGTCGAAAAAGACCATACAGTCCATGGATCACAGATAACATTAAGTTTATGAAAATGCTTCGAAATGAAGCTCTTTCTCGTTTTAAACGAACGCACCAACCTGGTCATCGAGACTGTTATAAACAATTAAGAAACCTGACCACTTCTGCTATTAGAGCCGAAAAAAAGGCATATCAAAATTTAAAGTTTCAGAATTGCTCAGAAAAGGAAAAATGGGCTGAACTAAAAAACTAAATATACTTAGAAATAAAAATAAATACATTCCTGACCATTTAAGGAATGTTAATGAACTTATTACCTACTTTGCTCAAATCTCACAAAATAATACTCCAAACAAGAATTGTTGCATTTCTATTTCAACAACTCCTTGCTTAATGAAACCTTCTCATTTAACCTAATCGACGAAGATTGTGTTTTAAGTAGTATCCTCAGTATCAAGACGAAAGATTTTGGCGTTGATAGCCTGTACGTTACCGTGATTTCCTTGTGTTGCCCTTTTATAGTTCCTTATATTATCCATATTATAAATAGTTGTATTAAAAGGTGTTACTTTCCTAAAAACTGGAAGCTTGCCAATGTTCTTCCATTGGCTAAGGTTAACAATCCGACAGAATTTGGTCAACTACGTTCAGTCTCGCTTTTATCGACCCTCTCTAACTTTTTGGAAAAGGCAATCGCTATACAAGTTGCTAACTACGTTTTTGCCAACAATATCACCCCCCCTAGGCACTCAGGGTTTAGAGCCGGGTACAGCTGTTCCACAGCATTAACAGATCTTGTAGATGATGTCATCAGAACAGGATGCGGGAAATGCTACTATCTTGGTGTTATTGGACTACACAAAAGCATTTGACATGATTAATCATGAGATACTAGTGGCTATTCTCAAATATATTGCATTTGAGCAGCCGGCCTATGCATTAATAAATTCTTTTTTATCTGAAAGGATGCAGCGCGTGACTTTGGACGGGAACATATCAGATACAGTTACAATTACATCAGGGGTGCCCCAGGGCAGTATTTTGGGTCCATTATTGTATAGCCTATATACTTTTAATTTCATGAAGTCGCTAAGTTATTGTCAATATCAGCTGACGACACTCAAATGTATGCCTCTTTTAAACCTGATCTGTCAGAACTTATAACAAACCGACTGAATACCGACTTGAATAGCCTTCTCAAAACTTCTGAAGAACACTTGTTAAAGATAAACCTTAGTATATCGACGGCTAAATTGTTTTGTAGTGATTCCAACAGAAATGTATTAGAAAATAATATTAAGCTCAAACTAGGGGACAATATAATATCATTTAGGGAGTCCGTGAAGGATTTGGGCTTGGTGGTTGACTCTAAACTAAAGCTTAAAGAGCACATTACTCTGTGCCTAAGAAAAGCATATTCAATGTTAAAAATAATTTACTCCCATAGACATTACCTATCACAAAATACTAAAGCCACGCTCTGCGAAGCTTTAGTGTTGTCCCACTTCAACTTTGCTAATATGCTATATGGCCCATTTCTTGATAGTGTGAAACTAAAACGGGTTCAAAAAGCTCAGAATTCTTGTCTGAGACTGATATTTGGTATAAGGGGTAGACAAATAGTATCCCACAAACTCCCTGAACTGGGATGGTTGAATATGGCTCAGAGGCGTACCTTGCACTCTACTTCCTTTCCTTTTTTACAAGATTATAAAATATAAAAGCCCCCCTTATCTTCACTTAAAAAATTGTTACCGGACTGATGAACATAATCTAAACATTACAAGGTTTGATTACAATACCATCACACAGTAAAGAATCATTTAAGAAATCATTCTCATATCAAATTGCTTTTTTGGTAAATAAATTCAAAATTAAAGATTTTCTCTCTCGGTAGCTACATTTAAGAGGAACCTTAAAAGTGATTTACTGTCTCAGGTAGAAAATATATCTCCTGCTCTCCCTTTTCTCTTCTTCTCTTTCCCCTCGCTTACTCTTCTCACTCTAAATTCCCATTTTACTATACTTCGCTATATTTCTTAATATCAAAACATTATTAATTATCAATGTCTTAATAGCCATTTGCATTATTATACAATTGTTTAAATTTGTTTTTTTTTTGGCTGTAGCAGCTGCTTCTTTAAGGGGCAAGTTGATGTAGCCCTTTATTCTCTTAAGGCTTTTTGTTTGTAAACTTTTATATACTGTTTAATAAGGGTAATAAATATTATTATTATATGAGCCGGATTTGGACGATGAACGAACTAGAATTGGCATACCTAGAATATTTTCAAGCAGAACCGATTTTGTGGAATACAAATTTAAAAGAATATAAAAATAAACTAAAGGCCACGATGCGTGGAAACTTATTAGTGCCTTGAAGAATTAAAAAGCAAAAAAAATGGTTATTAGCCAGCTACAGAGGGTATAAAAATAAAGTCAAGAAATCGGAAAAATCTGGTGCTGGTGTCGACGACATTTAATTCTGCGTCCATCGTCATCGAGCACGAGAACTGTATAACCTTGCGAGTCTGGACCCAAAGAAGTTTTCGCCGAGATTTTCGCTGAGATTCTTGCCGAGATTATCGGCGAGATTCTCGCGTGAGTGTAGCGCGACTTTATGGGTACTCCATTAAATTATAAAATTCGATCGCATACATGAAAGATCCCTTACGTAAAAAATGGCATCAAGTAGGTTGACTTTACACTTCCCACTCAACGCTTTATCAGTTCATAAATGATTAT